GTGTGTGTGTGTGTGTGTGTGTGCGCGCGCGTGTGTGCGTGTGTGTGTGTGTGTGTGTGTGTGTGTGTGTGTGTGTGTGTGTGGTAGCCTCCTTGGGGGGTGGGGGCAGCGCGGTCCCCCCGACCAGTGGAAGGGGAGGGTGGTGGATAAAAGTGGCCCGGAGCACGTGATTGGGGCAATAGTGTTTGCACTCTGTGCTTGGACCCTTCATGCTGTAGTGGCGGCTTAAGACCTCCAAAAAAAGCAACTCCCTGCTCCCAAATCTTTGAGGTTACATTCGTGCATTCATTCATGGATTCTGGATCTCCGGAACACCTACAACATGGGAGTTGCCCAGAACAGAAATGAAAGAAACAGACAAGAGTTATAATAAATTTTTTTTAAGATTTTTATTGGGGAATTGGGGGAGGGAACTGCTTTAGGGAAATTGGGGAAGGGGAACAGACAAGTTGCTGTCCTTTTTTTGTTCTTCAGTCCAGTTGTGGAGGACAGTCGCTTCACTGGCCCATGTTGGTATCATTGCACTCTTCCAGGGTGAGGCAGATCAGTTGGCCACTGGACAGCCACTCAGGGCAGCTCACACCGGCTACCAGCCACTCACGGTAGTTTACGGCAGCCCACTGCAGCCTACACTGACACCATCACCGGACGGCAACCCAGCTCCAGGTTGAGCTGTTGTTCACCATCTTAGCTGTAGAGGGCACAGCATCACCGGCCCATGTGGGATCCGAACCGGCGGCCCCACTGCTCAGAGCTCGCACTCTCAAGCCAACTCTTAATCAACGAGCCACAGGGTGGAAAGTGCCGTGGCAGGGGCATTTCGGGAAGAACAAAGACTTGTGAGTTCCTCTTTACCTACGTTTACAGTGTGGGTACACGTCAGACGCTTGTCCTAGACAGAACAATTTGAGTTTGGAAACATGGGTCTCTACACCCAGAGTGCAGATGGAGCACACAGCGTTGTTGCCCTCGGTGCTCAGAGGTTGTGTGGGCACATAGCTCTACCCACGGTCATGACAGATGATTGGGCCTTAATTTTGGTATTTCTAGCCCCTCAGTCATGCCCGGAGTATCATCCAGTTTCAGAAAGAAATTCTCCAAGTCC